GGGGGGGGGGGGGCTGTGTCAGCTCCCTCCCCTGGGAGATTCCCCTCCCCCACCTCCCGCCCCAGACTTACCTTGTCACCATCAGGGGCAGAGCTGGGGGAGATCATATTCACCAGGACATCCATGGGATCAGACAGAGGCCACCGGGTCGTGGCCATCTCCTCCTTGGTCATTAACGGGGACGTGTTGTGGATGTCAACCAAGACCCCCGGAGAGCCACTGATGGTAAATGACTTGCATTTCTCTGGGGCACACCTGCTGGGCCCGACCAGGAGACAGACTCTAGGGCATAAGAACCTCAGGGGACGGCCCCTCACCCTCTCTCTCCTTAGGGCACTTTTGTGGTCCTCACACAACTTCAGCCCCACTCCCACCGCCCCCCACTGCAAGGAGCCCTGTTCTCCCTCCCACGGAGGCTCTAGCCTGGATCGCACCCTCCCACCGAGGCTCCAGAAGTTACCAAAGCTGCATCTTATTTATAAACCCATGGAGGGAGGAGCGGCTTAAGCTGGAAGGGATCCCTACAGGGGAAGAAACATGACCTAGTCCTGGGGATGGTGGGGAGGCCACCCCTAACTAAGTCACCCCCCCAACTAAGGCTCCAGTTCACAGGAGCCCCCCTCACTCAATCCTTATGGCCTCCTGGAGAGCCAGCCCCACCCCTATTTCACGGGCAAGAGGACAGAAGAGGCAAGGTGCTTGTTTCGCTAAGGTCCCACAGCCCACACGGGGCAGACGCAGGAATGGGGTCAGAAACCCGCAGCGTCAGGACCGGGGGGCCCTTCGACACCCACACCTGGCTCCCTGAGATGAGGCAGGACCCGAAGACGCAGGGAAAGGAGGTGACCCCCGACCCCCATGCAGCCTAGGGCCAACCCCAGCGCAGGACGGGGCGGGAGCGGGGGGGCAGGCACCAGCCTCCCTGCTCAGACCCACCCCCGGAGCCAGCTCCTCACCCACTGAGATCCAAGCAGATGTCCACACCCAGCACGCAGAGGGCACGGACGGGGCCGTCCAGGGACAGGTGGACGAGGCTCTGGAAGGACATGCCAAAGGCCTCCAAGGTGGCCGCCCGTTCGACAACCCTCCCTCAGCACAGCAGCCTCAGATAACCCCGGGGTCTCCCCCAACCCCCTGCCCTCCCCTCTTAAGGGCTCAGGGCCTCTCCGGCCCACCCCCCCCCCCTGCCTTGTTAAGGCTTCAGCAGCTGCCCAGGTGTGACTGATTTGCTCCACTGGGACTTGCCGATGGGGGGTGGGGGTGGGGTGGGGTCTGAGCCCCGTCGTCACTAATCCATCAGGCAGCCAGTTCCCACAGATCCAGGGCATCTGCGGCTGGCTGCTCAGGTCTCTGGCCTTCAGCTGGGAGCAAGGGGGGCGCTGGGAGGCTGGCGTGGGGTGTGGGGGGGAGTGGGCAGGATGGCAGCACGTGGCGACATCGCCGGGCTCTGGGGCCTCTCGGGCGTGTGTCTGTCCTGGCAAACGAGGAGCAGAGCCCGGCCAAGCGCTGGTTGCAAAAATGATCGGGAGGCTCGTTAACGTTCTAGATGCCTGGGCCCGGCAGGTCTGGGGTGCGGCCCATCCCCAGGTGGTGAGGGGGCGGCGGCGGCAGGGTGGGGGGCGGCGCTCCTTGTCCACAGCGGTGTCAGCCGCTCCCGGAGGGAGCACAGCGAGGGCCCGGATGGCACGCGCGAGTGGAGGGGCCCCTGCGGAGCCCAGGTCGCCAGCCGCTCTCCGTCTTCCCTGAGCTCACTGGGCAAAGAGCTCCTCCCCCGGCCCAAGGGACTCACCAGCTGACTTGAAAGCTGTGTGTTCGTTCCACATTTGACGTTTCATGTTACGGGCTACCTCGTTCACACGGGCCCGAGTTCAAAGAGGCTTGCAACAGAGGGCGCCTCCTGCACGGGACCAAGCACACACGTGTCCGTATCCTCCCCACCCTCTTATTTTCATGTAAACGGCAGTAGGTGCTCCGCAGGGTCCGTATCCCGCTGTTTGCACTGGATGGTGGAACTCGGAGGGAAGCACTTCCTAGCAGCACGTGAAAAGCATCCTTACCCTTGCTCGTGGCTCCGTAGTACTCCGAGCAGGGCCACACCGTTCTCTGCAGACGTATTTGGGTTGGGGCTTTTGCCCTGACGCACAACGCTGTGATGCGTGACCCATGTGTCACAGCCCAGGGGGCGCAGGCTGGGTCCTGAGTGGAGACTGCTCGGTCAGCCAGGCTTGTTAGATTCAGGAGACTGAGAAGGAGAAACCTCCCTCTTTGGAAGCCGGAAGCTTGCAGCGTAGCTATCAGGGGTGGCTTTGTTTAGGGGGCTCTCGGAGGCAGCGGGTTGGCCAGGAAGACCCCCAAGGCCCTTCTGGTTGGGCTGAAAGCGGCAAAATACAGCCCATGTATGCACTCACCCGCACCCACGTACCTCCCTGCCCGTCTGCTCACACACACGCTGGCCAGGAGGGGGGCTGGAGGGAGGGGATGGTCGGACGAGGGAGGGGTCGCTGAGGGCTGGGCTCTGGGTTCTGGAGCCAGACAGCCTGGGAGCTGTGCCCTCCTCGCTGCCCTGGGGTAGCCCAGCCTTGTGCGGGGGTTCTGAGCACCGTGAGGACGAGCGCTCCCGGCCTGGAGGATGGAGACCCCTCTGGGCATGGAAGGGACTCGGAGAGATCTAGAGTGGACCCCCGCTAGATCTAGAGTGGACAAAAGGAAGCCCTCCGCCGTGGTTTTACAAGATGAAATCTGCCCCCACAAAGAAGAAATGATAATCACATGGCATGATGGAGGCCTTGGCTAACACCGCGGTGGTGATCGTTCTGCTGTATATATCAAATCAACACGTTGCACACCTTAGCCTTACACAAAGTTACGTGTCCGTTAGCTCCCAATTTTTCCAAAGCTAAGTCTTGTCCCTTTCCCGTCAGGGTTTAACGCAGGCGCAGAGCTGCAAACTGTGGGAAAGGGATGCCCCGCTTCTCTCCGCCTCTTCCACCTGCCGCGTCCCGAAACAGCGGTTCCTAACCTGCGGGAGGTTAACACGGCCCCCAAAAGATGTCGGGTCCTAATCCCCGGAGTCTGTGACCACGAGACTTTGGGATGGGGAGATTATTCCTGGCTCTTCTGGGAGGACCCCAAATGCAATGACAAGTGTGTTTGTAAGAGAGAGGCAGGGGGAGATTCGACGCACGCAGAAAAGAAGGCAGGCTGACCACGGGCAGGGACAGGAAGCATGCCAGAGGCCACCAGGAGCCAGACAAGGAACTGACTCCTCCCAGAGCCCCCGGAGGGGACACGGCCCTGCCCACCCCTTGATTTCAGCCCGGTGAAACCGATTTTCAACCTCGGGCCTCCAGAACCGTGAGGATAAATTTCTGTGGTCTTAAGACGCCCAGTTTGTGATAATCGGTTACAGCAGCCGCAGGAAAGTAGGTGGGGGAGGGAGGGGAGACGGCCCAAAAGTTCTGGCTTCCCGGGTACTGTCCTAGGACGGCTCCGTGCTCTGTGGGGCCGGCAGGACTCCCAGCCGGTGCCTTCTCTCACGTGGGCTTTCCTGGTCCTTCGCAGAGGTTCTCACCCCCCAAGGGTGGCCGGGGGACGCTCCCCTGCACCTGTCTTGGTGCCAAGGTCTGCTTCAGCCACCTGCTTGTCCCTCGGTCCTTCTGCAGCCCCAGCAATGCAGCCAAACATTTCCCTTCCGTCTGCTGAGGTGGGTGGCAGCTCCAGGCTGCTCTAAGGTTTGGGGACAACCTCACACGGGACTCCCCCTTGTGCACGGTCCTCTTTCTGGTCCACAGAAAACACGTGCATTTTTGCCCCAGCCATTCTGGAGGGGAAGCAGCTGACTCTTGTCAGAGGAGCACATTTTGACCCGGGTTTTTTCGGGGTCCCTTTCCACACAGTCTGAGGGAAGAGGCTTTGGACGCCCTCCTCTTCCACCGTCACACGTCCGCCACGAGCACATGAAAACTCTGGTGTTTTCTTAGTATCTCGGACGCTAAGGAGCCAAGATCTGGCCTTAATTTTTATTTATTTTATTATTCTTTTTAAGCTCATTCATTTATTTTTGAGAGACAGAGAGTTGGGGAAGGGCAGAGCGAAAGGGAGAGAGAGAGAATCCCAAACAGGCCCTGTGCTGTCAGCTCAGAGCCCGATGCGAGGCTCGAACTCCTGAACCGCAAGACGATGGCCCCGCAGGGCACAGCGGAAGGAAGCAAGCCGCTGCCTTGGAAGGCGGCCACGCCCAGGGGGCCAAAATGTCCCTAAGAGCTCTCGAGATGCCACACTGCAGGGGATCAGAGTGTCTGGCCGGGAGCTTCGGAAGGAAAG